CTACCAGAAACACAACCCAGTGTTGATTTTGTACAGAAAACTTCATCATGTACGGTCATGTGACCTATTCTTATGTATAATTAAAGTGTCTACATATTTTTCGCAAACCTATCAGATGACTGTATATGATCATGTAATATTCATGGAAATATAGATATGAATGTGCAACATTTTTTGTTTACATTATAAAATAGCCCATGATATATAGCACATGCCATTAGTCTTGCTGATAAAACCTTGTCATTGCTGCAGTGCAGCTATGTTAGATTTACATAAATTAGCTTATTTTTAGCTTTTCAACAGATATCTCAATAATCTCTCTTCAGATTTTAATGCAACTAAATACATATATGCTCTGGGGTAATCTACAGAGGTGATTAGTTTTAAGTTGCATACATTATCTGATGTCTTGTTTAAGGGGCCAATTTGATATATTCTCAATTTCTTCTTCACAAACCAGGGGTACATCTGATAATCTCTGCACACAGGAGTTCTAAGCTTTCTTTAAATACTTCTTGTTGAACATATTGCAATTTTTAAAGTTCTTATTCAAAATAGCCGACTCAGTTTTGTTTTGTTTACTATTGAACATGACTGTTTACTATAGATGTTTACTATAGAGCTATTAAACTTGTATGACTGATAAGATGCAATAAAATACATACCATCATCAGGATGACAGTACTGAGGTAAAGATGCTCAGTCTTGGTAATTATACTTAACAAACTTCACCATTGCATTATTGATAGGATATTTGCTCTACATGTATTAGGAGCGCACATACATCACAAATTTCATTTATTGTATTCTGGATCATTGAAATATACCTTTGTAAACCTAAACCTAAGCATATATGTACGTATGCTCTGATATAGCATGTGTATTGTACAATTTATTTATTATAATTGTATTCCTTTGTACTATAAGTATTTCCAGAAATTTGTTTTATTACATTAAACAAAAGTGTTAATGTCGTAGCTCAATTTTCATTTGCATAAATCCATCCCAGTATTTTGCTAGATGCACACATGTTGTAGCGGGTTTTTCTGGTGGACGGTGTATCAATGATTCAAATCATTTATTAGTCCCTTTCCATAATAGTCAGAAAATGGAGCCCTATAATTTCACCTCTGTTCATTCGTCCACACCTGTATCTCAGACATGATTGGGCCGATTAGATTCAAACACCACATTATATATCACACGTATACACATGTATTTGTTTTATAATCCAATTCACGATGGCTGAATGTTGGTCATTATAGTGCAAAAAATCATCAATCATTTTTGCCAATATGGGCCTGAATCTTTTGACATATTTTATTCAACATGATGAGACCTTGGCACCCTTTTTCCTTCTTTCAGATTGGATTAATAATGGCCGACATAAATAAACTGTATCACTCGTCATACCTTAACACCGCTCTATTGATATGTCCATCAACCATATAAATGGACATTTTTAAATTGGGTAATGCATGTCTCTGCCATGGTAGTTGATTTAAATCAAGCTGTATGCAATCCAATGTATCCAATTTGCAATAAATTATTTATCTACTATTTAACTGTAAATCTATAAAATCTTTGGGTCCTTCTTCAATCAAGACGTGTAGTGACTGGGGGAGGGGGCGTCATGCAATACAGACATCAACATGGCGCACATAGGCTTTATTTACCCAGGGCTCTATTGATGTTTGCACTAGTACTAGCACAAAAAGATGGCAGTCCAGGCTTGAGGTAAAATGTTTTGTCACTGAACAAGAATCAGTTCGAGTTGAGTCAAGGCAGAAATTTATACATTGAAAAATCCTGTCAACAAAGTGTACTGTAAAATGACTAATTTTCACTGGATTTAAATTTCGTTGATTTACCATTTCAGGCATATTCAGTGGGTTTTAAATTTAGTTTTATCATTTAGATAATGTGTTCTATGCTCAATTTTTACATATTTGCTGGGTTTTAATTTAGCGCATTTTCCAGTCAGCGAAATAAGCAAAATTAAAACCCAGTGAATAATTAACCCCTTTACAGTATTTATGAATAGTAAAACAAACTTTATTACACATCCACCATAAATAAAATGTTTATTCATAAATTGTTGTAAATCAGTTTTTATCCATTAAGGGTATCAACATGTTGGCAGTTCCTTTTGTGAAAAAAAATCAATAAAATTTGAACATAAATGTTTCTCAGGCCTTTGTATAAACGTGACACAGGATTACTGATGCATGTCAGTTTGTGATTTAATTCTAAATGGCTACCATATGTTTTCCCAAATAAGGATGAGGCATATGCATGTCAATTAGTTTTTCATTTCAATGACCTTTGACAGACTAGTGACCATATTTCAATATAGGTCAGTTTTATACAAACTTGGCTTTAACACCACACATTCATTCCCGTGTGATTGATTGGTTTTGGGTAAAAATCCATGAATATAATTAACCTAATTTGCATAATGATTAGTCAATTTTCTGATTTTCCACTGATATCTCAAGTACTAATCATCACATTTCAATGAAACTTACTTGGACACGAAGGACAATGAACAGACAAAATGTGAAATCAGATCATATTAATTACCTAATTTGCATAATAATTTTGGTTCTAATCACATTTCAATGAAACTTTGTACATAGATGGTCTGTGACAGTACTTATCTTAATTCAATGAAAGCTTGGTACATATATACTCTAACACAATGTGACGATCTAATTAGTATTAGGTTTATATACATCTAAAATAATTGCCTAATTTGCATAATAATTTACTTTTCAGCTTTTCACTAATTTAGTTAGGATTAATTCATCACATTATAATGAAACTTTGTACATGTGCACCCTGAAACAAAATACAGACCTAAATCTATGCATAATAATTGCTTAATTTGTATAATGGTTCATTGAGGTAGTCCACAAACAGGATTAGTTTAATGGTGATAAACATGCATATTGATTATCTATTATTAGCATATTTCTGATATCTCAAAAAATCAGATTAAATTGAATTTGTGGTTGAGATGCTCTGGAATTACTTAGACTAAAAACAA